CCGGAACTGGGAGGGGCAGTCCTTGTGAGGCTGGTTGACCTTGGCTTCTATGATCTTCCAAGACATGCCGACCTCCATTTCGTATGGCCCATGCAACCGGGAGGCTAGGTAGAAGAGGATCATGGCACACAGCAAGGTGCCGAACCTCATCACACGACGCTCAATGTGAAGGTCCAGTGCGATGTGATGCATTTGGGGCAAGTCCAGTCCGTGCAGAATCATGGAAACTGCCCAAAGATGGAGTGGAAGATGAGAGTAAGCATGCCCAAAAGAGCCTCCCAGATTGAAGCTCGTACTCGCCCCCAAATCTTTCCTCGCCCTTGTGCCCCTAGAGCCTTTTGCAATAGGCTTTCCACTCCGCCCATAGTTGGAGCAACCCCAGAGCTAGATAAAAACTGGGGGCCCCGGCAAAGCTAGGCCTGTCCCGGAGCTAGCCGTCGCCGCCTCGGCCGTCAGTTCCTTCGTGAAGGCCTCAGGAAGAAACTTGACTTTGGCATGGGGCTCAAAAGTGAGGGTTTCGGGTTTAGGCTGTGGGGGTGTTTAGGGATTGAGTGTTGAGAGTTTAGGACAGGAAGAGTATGGAAGATTTCTGGCTTCTCAGGGGCATCAGTTCGGGTGTTACCAAGGGCAAAGGCGGATGTCTTGCCACCCACCACCCTCGACAATGCCCAGCGAGGTCGGCAGGATGTTTGTTTTTGGTCCCGACATACCCGAAATCGGTCCGAGACGGAAACGCCTGGCAGCGATGATGCTTGGCAGGGACCGCCGAGAACTCAAACAACGCAATGGACATTTTTGAGATACCAGAGGCTAGCAGCTGTAGCCGAAGGCGTTTCAGTCGTTGGATCTGAGGACCATGGGGCTGTGGCCATACGAATCCCAGCAAGGGCTCTGCTCCTTAAAACTGGCACTGTGCGACTTAAAATCCTTCGTGGCATTGTTCGGGGTCGAAAGGGAGAGGTCATTCATCATCGCCATCATCGAAGGTGCGAGAAAAGAAATGAGATAAAACGAAGGAAGACGTTTCATCGCGAAGGGAGTGCCTGCGCCAGGTCTGGCGCAATAGCGGTACTGTTGTGTGTGACTTTGTGCAAACAGCAAGCTTTAGCCGCTGAAACTTTGATATGGGGACTTGGGCTCCACGGAATGCACCGGTCCGCATGGCATGTTTGTCCTTGCAACCCAGCGTCGTCGACGTTGTGCGTCTCGTTTGTGGAGATCGTGACCTTGCTACAGCAACTCGCAAGAAACAAGGCATGTTCTTCTCGCGATCAGAGTCTCAAAACCCTTTCAGACCCTGAAGTTCTTCGGCTTTTCATGGAACAGTGCTTTGCCATTCTGGGGTCATGGGATGCACAGGATGTGCTGCAGTCTCCCATGTGCAGCTCAGCCATTTATGCCACACACACCACATGACATTGGGACGGTGTGAGCAAGACGTATACCATGTGGTGTCGAAGGCAAGCTCTCTGCTTCCACAAGATTGGCTCGAAGGCACTGGCAGCGGCACCAGAAACTGATGCTCGAGATTTCAATCGGTGCTTTCAAGTTGCGACCTTCTCCGCTGTGCCGCTGGGCTGCCCATCTACCTTCATGCAGGTGGAAGCATGCTTACTGCTGTCGACGACCATAAAATTTTGAAGTTCGCAAACGCGAAGATAAGTCTGGCAGCCTCATACCATCGAAGCCTAACCCTGTAGGCCAGTGCTACATGGCTGTGGGATGCTTTCAAACTTAATTAGTCAGGCAGTCAGGGACATGTGGTACGAGCCCGGACAACCATTCCTGTCTCATTCGTCCACGCGAATGCCTCTTGAAGATACGCCCGCGCACCCTTCTGGTGTCGCATCAGGCGTCTGGCAGCTTCCTTTGCAGCAGTCGCTGCTGCATGCGGTCAACATTCTAAGCATTACTAAGCTTAAAGTGTGCACGCCGCAACAGATGCTCCGCTGGGCTTGCAACGGACATGACTGTTGTGATTTTTTCGGGGGACGGTCTCAAGAAGGAGACAAGGTGTTCAAATGCTTTCATGGCCAACACTGCTAGAAGCGCAAGGACCACATGTGACAACATCCCTCGACGGCCTTCTCTGCCCGTGATCATTTGCCCAAAATTTCAATGGTGAATCTCGTGAAGGTGGGATTGAAACTCGATAGCAACTCCGGGACATCCCCGTTAGCACAGTGGTCAGTTGTGCCGATGCCCGTTGGCAATACAGGCTAGTAGCTATCCGGTTATACAAGAAGTATATTGGGCCATTATGGCCGTCCAAACAGAACATGTCTACCTATAGCCGCCGCCTTATCGTAGCTGTAGAAGCCTAAAGTGGCTACGGGTAAAAGAGCTGAGAAGCCATGGGATACGACCAGATTTCGCCATCAGCAGACCTCAGTCTATTGAAGTTCGACTTGTTGAGGCTGCAGTTCTCCTTTGCCATTCGAGGGTTCGAAGTACCTACGGTTTCACAGTAGATGTAAGCGCCTCAAGGGTTTTGCTTTTTTGTTTTATGGACTCTTTTCGATCCTCTCACTACCAGATAGGGATTTAGTTTAGGGCTCGGGGCTAACACTGGGCTCTCCACACGAGTCCTGTGTCCGGCGGCCGACATTTTATATCAAGACGCGAAACAGACTTCACAAGTCCGGGAACCCGCCGCTTCGCCGAAGGAAAGGTGAACTACTACAAGGGCTCAGGACGTACCCAGAGATCCCAATACCCCTTAATTAAGGAATATACCTTAACTCATAGTATTAAGGCCCCTATAATTTATGGTAGATTCCCTAATGAAGGGATATTGGGATCTCTGGGTATAGGGGTTGAGGCACAGGTCATTGTCGAAAACCGCTCCACCAACGAAATCTTAAGGCCTTGACGTACAATTTAGAAGTAAAGGTAGCTGATTCGCTACTTGATGCTACTTGCTGTCCCTAGAAGTTTCCCCAGCGAAGAAAGGCCTCACTACGAGACTGCAGATTCGACTGGTTTCCTTGTAGTACAGTTGCACTGCATATGACTGGCACGGCTGCCGGAAGGAGTAGCTTACATGCACACAGTGAGGCCCATACCATATGTCCAATGCAGCTAGTCTGGGCTCCTGCACCAGAACATAGGACCGAAAGGGCACAGTAATCATGTGAATTGGGACGGGCAAAGCATGCGTGAACGTACGCATGACTTACCTTTGGCTAGTAGGGAATGGAAGAATGGTAGTAATAGTAGTTATAATTGTATCCCATTCCTCCATTCCCTACTTACCAAAGCTAAGTTATAAGATTATTGAGGCCCCTATATTATAGTAATTACAGTACCCTTATAGATCCCTTATAGTAACCCTTATAGACTGAATGCAAAACCTCCGCCCATTTTTGGTGCAAGCGGCAGCTGCATAGCCTGGAGATCTCCATGGGCTTGGAAGGCCAAGAGCGCCAGAGCCCAGGCCTTATTCGAGCTAGGCAAACTTCTTTGGTGGACCCCTGATCTTGTTCATAGTTGGGATAGGAATAAAAATGTAGATTTATATTCCTTATTGGATTTAAGTACCCATAAAAATGTAAAATGTTACCCAACTGTGAAACAGTGATTGTGAGTATGAAGACGACCATGGGGTGCCACCGAAACCCGGGAGCTGCCGAACCCGGAGCTCTCCCGAGATCGAGAATTGTGTTAGGGAAGGCTCATAGCCCCTGCCCCCGAAGCAGACCCGTTCTCCTTGAGCCAAGCTCCGAAGCCTATAAACAGCGAAGCTTTGAACGCCAAACTTCCGCCAGTCGCTCTGGGAGAAGAGGGCGGTACAGGAAAAAAATGCTCACAAGTTGGAGAGGGATGCGAGCGGCTCCGGCAAACTCTTTTGACCAAGAAGCCCTGGTCATCGCTCTTTGAATTGATCCTTAGGTGCCACATGTTGCGACCGAGAGGGGGGCAAGAAGGGTCGATGTGCAATGACGTGCAGGTACAGGCGATGTCCATATCTACCGTGGAGCCATCGGAATGATACGGAAAGCTCCGCTGCATAGATTGCGCACGTTAGCATCATATCATTACGTTGTTGTGCAGTCGATGTTGAAGAGTGTCACCCCATGACCTAAGCACACACACACACACACACACACACACGCGGCCTTTGCCCGCGAGGCAGTCTGAATGCTTCCAAAGCAGCAGTGTAAAACCACGAAACAGGCGCCAGCACTCAGGCCTAGATGACCCTTGTCGTGTTTCGCAAACTCAACAGGGGGAGAAAAGGGGAAAACACATGCATGACAACCCAACAATCTTCTTGCTTGATGTCGAAACGCGCCCCCGGCTTTGTCCAGCCGAGCCACGAATATGGACAAACTACTTGGCAAAAACACAGAGGACGCGGACTGGGATCACATCATGGTCCCTTGAGCCCAGGCTGCGTGACTTTCTACTCTTCTGCAATGCATCGAAGCCGGGCCTGCACAGATACAGAAACCCACGAAGTGTTCGGCTGCTCAAGAACAAACTATCCCACACGTAGTCCGAAGCTCTTCGTTGCGAGTTCTGCTGTCGACATTAGTCTATCTACATAGCTGGCGATAGAATATTTGTGGGCTGTGCACTGCAATATAGGCACACGCCCCCTGCTGGGATGTATGCTATAGATCCAAACGACGGATACCGGAGTCAAGAGATGAATCCAATAAGAAACCAGCCAGGGACAATCCAAAACTGACCCACTTCTGCGTCGCAGCCTCTCATCAATCGTCTTCCCTTCTCACACACCAAACCCCCAGGCTGCTCACCCTTCTTCTATACGGACTACTTCAAGGATCATGGGGCTTAGAATGTCGCTTACAACAGAGGCTTAGAACCAGCGTCTTGATGGAGAATACCCACCTGATATGTAGCCCTAAAGCCAGCCATCCATAGCCATCCTAAGCCCTTCACCTGAAACCTTTTTATGTGCTAAACTCGAAAGCCGTAAACCCTAAACCCCTGATCCCTGATCCCCAAATTGTAAACCCTGACAAGGCAGGCGCCTGGGGATTGCGTCGGGAACTGGTCCCTGGGCTCGAGACGAGCCAAAGACGCCTTGAAGCTTCAGCCAAGACTTTGAACATATTCTCATTACTACTCTTATTAATGACAACCTTGCAACATATCTTTCTACTGCTTTTCTGCGGGTTGTGACTGGTGTGAATGGGTACTTTATGCTCTCCCTTCCTGCTATTCTTTATCACATTTGTTGGTTTTGTGTATAGGTTATGGCTGCTGCTTTGTCTGCTGTGCTGCTCGACAGTCTTGCTGATCGGGTCTTCCCCCAAAAAAACAAACAAAAAAAACAACAACATTAGAGCCCTCGGGACTCAAGCATCCTTCCAACAGAAAACATGTTCACACTCCAAAACCCAAACCAAACCAACTTGTATCAAATCTCTCTACACTTCCGAGGCGCCAGAATCCGCCGCGCCAGTGCCTCTGTCGCGACCTTTCTCTCTGCCACGCGCCTCGATCTTAGGTCTCAGGATTCAAACATGGGTCCTGTCAAGGGCTCTATTTGGGCTCTTCAAGGTTTATGCAGGGCTTTAGGGATATGTTGCGGTGCTTGGGAATTGAAACTCTTGACCTTTAGGGGCTGAAGGCTGTCAAGGCTCGGAAAGTAGCGCTCTGAAAGTTTAGGCTGCAGGTCTGTGGGGTTTCGGCGCTCACACTCGGACAATCCAAGGGAGGCATATGGTTCAGAGTCTGTTGAGTGAAACGGCACTAGAAGACATCGTCATGATGGCATCAACACCCCTCTAGCTCTGTGGGGTTTAGGGATATTGACATTCAGGACTTATTGAAAAGTGCTTGGGTTTGTAGAATTTTCAGGTTTACTCTTCGGTGGCTCTTTGGGCTTAACTTAAAGTTTGATGAGGTTCTGATTCCTCAACCAAAACCCCAAGCCAGTGGCGGACGAGGTCAAGGATGGTTCTGTTTTTTTTTGCCTCCCGCATTGCTAGCCATGTCTGCAAATGCAGGGTTCAGTGAGTTCGGAGTGTGGGGGTTTGGGGTTTGCTTGAAGGACCCTGGGACAAAGAAAGAAGATCATATACTTGTGGGCTTTAGGACCATGGGGCCAAGTAAGCTCCGGGTTTTGTAGGTACTCTATGGTACTCTCATGTGGGCTATCCCAGTTATGATTATGACCCAACGACCATGTTTGTTGGGTTTGACAGTAGTGGGCTCCAAAGTTTCATGAGGCGCACAGGCTTGCAAGCCTTAGTCCTTCGAACATCTTCGAACATTAGGCTCAGGCAGGACCAAGAAGGCTCCGACATTGCTCTTTCGGATGTGCTGAGTTCTGGCTCTGAAGAACAATCAACCCTTTCCGAGATTTTTGTCTTTGCTCTGGCATTCCTGGTTGGGTGGTTTGAGGTTGCTAGTTCCGGAAGGGGAATATCCACAAAGCCTCCGTCAACGGAGGGGGCGTGCAAGACTGCTTTGTCAAACATAACGTCTATGCCATGCGTTTTTGAAGAGGAATTCAAGGAAAATGTCCTGCACTGTGGCTGCATAGGGGGTCATAAACCGTGTTGAAGACCCTCTGCGATGAACCAAAGCAGTTTCAATCCGAGAGGCTGGGAGAGCTCCTCCCGCAGCTGCAGCAATGGCCTGGCCATGCATGACAGTCGAGGCCAGGGTTGCGTCCCTCACTCTCGCTCACGGCAGTCAAACTCCAAAATGGCCGTGATGCCAACCATGAACGACTTGGACTGGTGCTATGGTGGCGATGATGGAGTGGAGAAGGCTGAGGAGGACAGATGCAAAGTTCGAACATGCCATCGCACAACGGCTGGCTCAACCAACATAGGTGTCGGAATAGCTGATACTAGTAATAGTACTCCTTATGCTCCCTTGTTCTAAGAGCTGTCGTAATACTGCGGCCTCAAAACCCTTTTCTCATCATTTCGGCTCCTAAATCATGTAACCGCGACGTGTCGAGGCCCTTGCGCAGCGGCTCCCGGCCCCGCGCATTGCGAATCGATGTGCCGAGCCTGGCAAAAAGGCTATGCTATGCCTACTTGGAGCACCATGGGACGGAGTAAGTAGTGTTATAAATAAGGTAATTAACTATACTTGTATATATTCATTTATAACCCCAATTAAGATACTTGTGACCTTACTTACTAAGTCCCGTGATCTTCCAAGTACACCCCCTAGCTACCCTCTAATATACCCCGACTAAGGACCATAAGGGCTCTATTCAAGGGGCATTGGGGGGGTCCCGGTCGTCCGTGTAGATTTATGTTGTGAGATATCCGATGCCGGTCATTCAGGGGGCTTAAGTTAACCGAAAACCGAATCGAAGAGATGTGGCTGTTCTTGAAGTGCCCCGAGATGCCCCACGCATCGAGTACGAGAGGACGCTTGAAAATCATGCCCATGAGCCCACCGATACCGAACAGGGAATTTTCTATTGAACAGCTACACAAGGGTGGAATAGCTCGGTTTTTTGCACGAATGCCTTGGGCCTATGCCCAGCTGGACGAACACCGACTCTCAAACGTACCTTGCGCAAACCACCTCAGCATGTCAATGTGGGGTTGGGAGCTGGTTCAAGGCTCGGGTGCCCTTCCAAGTACCGATTTCAATATCAGCTACTACTAGTGGCTTCCCATTTCTGGTAGTGGGCTGAAGTTGGGCTAGACTGCTGAACGCCTTAAGCCCTACAAACCCCGAAAGCCTAACGGCTTAATACCCTCAGCCTCTCAACGGTCCACCCGGGATCCTCAATCGGAGATGCCTGCCCGGAGAAAAGGACGACCTCCGAAAGGCGTGCCAGGAGCCCAAAGATCGGCCAGCCCTTGGTTGGGCTGTTCTTCAGGGGGCTCCGGCCCCAGGCGATTCGGTGTTTCCCACCCGGGCCGCCCAGCTGACCGAGTCGCAACGCCTTTTTGCATCCAGGCCTATTGCAACTGCCGGTACTCTTGAAGAAAAGAAACTGAGGGCCAGGCAAATCTACAGCTCTGCTGGCTGCAACACTCACCCAAACACACAAGACATAATTTTGCATGCGACCACTCTGACCAGTGTTGCGACTTGAACTTCGGAACTCCAGAAAGGAAGAGGCAACTAGGAAGGCACGACCGGGCACGACTGAGAAACTGACAAACGATAACAGACAAAAATGCTGTTTGATGCTGTTTCAATCGTGCCGCGTGTCGAACGAATCGCTAGGCCCTAGGCAAGGTGACGATACACATTCCGAAGAATTCAGCATCGTCGCGCACAGTTACTGGGGCATTTTGCCCACCTCTCTCAACAACCTCTGAAAGATTGGAGTACAAAAGCAGCTTAGCCGCAGCCTCCTGTGACAACCAATCACACCAGTCATCTTCATGACCACGAAAGTGTCTCAAGGCACACTGATGCCTGCGAGTCACGTTTGGTATGCAAGCCTTCATGCTTGAACCAGGCCCTGTATCCAAAATCGCTTCAATTGTTCGCACTGTTCTCCTGCTCTTACTCCGTCTCCCTGCCTTTGCATGATAGCATGGCACGGAGGCTCTGGCAGCATGTCTGGGTGTTGCCGTTTTTGATCTGCTGGTCGTCCTGCTTGGCTTGCCCCGCGTTGGTTTTGCGGCAGCCGATTCTGGATGCGACTGTCCCCTCCCACTCAACGATTGATACAGAGCAATGATGTAATGCCACAAAGATGAGGATAGAGAAAACGTTGAATGCAAGCGTGCAGAAAAATGCTAAAATTTCTCGAAAGACCTCCTCGCCACAGGCCGACCGTCCAGAAAAGACCAGGAGGGCGCCGAACGACATGTACTCGAGCAACCTGACCATCACGAAGGCGGCCTTGTGGCGAGGATCCCTGTTGAGCGTCACGACCACTGGAGCTGCAGTCACAGCAATAGCAAAGCACCCGCCGATCAAGGTCCAAAAGATCGCGACCAAGGCCAGAAAGGGAGAGTATGCAAGAAACCCAAGCACACCGAGAAAGACCAGGAACACAAGCCCTATGGCCAGGCCTATGGGTGTAGCAATGCACCAGAAGATTTTCACAAGTCTTATGAAGCATGGCAGGCAAGGCAAGCACGCTTCTGCACACTCAACGTCCCAGTCCTGTGGACCGTCTGAGGTTTCAGGCAACGCCTGAGGGCCTACGGCACAAAGGTACTGCAGTGCTGCAGGGAGGTCTGCGACAATGCGGCGGGCCAAACCTACCAACCAGCAGATTGCTCTCAGCAGCCGGCGCAGAACCCGCCCAACCAGGTCCAATATCACACAAGTCGTCTCCAAGAAGCTCAGCGCAACCTGACAAAGAGCAAAGATGATGGCCAGCGGAATCCCAATCGTCCTGACCACCTCGGAGAAGCCCAAGGCATACGCCCCGCATCGCAGCAGGGTGTCCGACACCAAGTAGATCCAGAAGACAAACTTGCCAACCATGGAGTCGTGAAGCAGCGAGAGCACTTCTCTGGGAGGATTCTTTTCATGCAAAGGATCTTCTGCAAGAGTTTGCCTTTCCGGAGGTACCTGAGACGATCCCAGCATCATAGCTGGAGGGGCAATTGGATGAGCCTGGCCATCCACCTCCCCTCCACGACTCTGTCGGCTGGCTGCGACCGACTGTCGGTAGGTCTTGCGTCTTGCATTCTGTCTGGCCTTCGTCTTGGCCGCGACATACAGAAGCATTGACATGAGCTCCCGTTGTTCCGGGGATTCAAAGAGAGGCTTTTCTTCCTCTGGACCAGACTGCGACTCTTCAGCGGCTTCTTCAGGAGGATCGTGTGCGGCGGGCTCTGACCCAGCATCGGGCTCAGGCGGGTCGTCTTCAGGTGCATCGCCGCTCCAAATCATCTTCTCTGCTTTTGTCAGCTCTGGGAGACTGACCAGAAGAGACGTGGAGAGACTGAGTATAGATACAGTCAGCGAAAAGACTTGTAGCGGCTGGCCATGTGATCCAGTTGCAAAGAGCACGTAGGCTTGGAAGAATGCTTGCGGGGCTGACTCAACCAGCTTGATGATCGTCTCTCGTTTAAGTATATTCATCTTCTTCTCATTGTCCATGAAGCGATTCCCGTGACGCAACATGTGCAGTAAGTCCATGAACGGTGCAAGTTGCAAGACCGACATCACGAAACTTATTGCACCGGCAAAGTTTTGAACGTTACCGGATTTGACTCCTTGACGCAGTCTGCGGCAGTACATCGCGGCTGAGCCTATGGACGAGCAAACGAGAATCAATGCGCTAATGACAAGCCACCAAGCGTGGACCTCACACGTCTCGCTGGTGTCACTGTCCAACGCGAACGTGGCATTCGCAGTGGCCGGGAGGGGAAGACAATCTGTCCGCAGAGGCTTGCCAAACACGCACCCAAACTGCAGCAGGACAAGGATGTCCGTCACAAAATCGACGAGGTCGAGGCAGGCAAAGAACCCGGTTTTCAGGAAAACGAACCAATCGAAGCGCGCATCCTGCTTCTCCTTGGGGGCTGCAGCCATGCTTCGCAGAACTGATCTGCGGCTTGGGCGAGCAAAAGCAGGTGAAACAAAGCAGCGCTTGGGCGACTCACGCGGAAGAAGTCCTGGCAGACCAGGAGAAAGCCTTGGCCGAAAGTGCCCTGAGCCAAGATGAAAATATGCACGGTTCGGGGTTCAGAGTTTACTGCTTGCAGGACCTCGGAAACATACGGTATACTATCTCAACTTGCCACCTATAGTTAGTAAAGGCAGCAAAGGCTTGGAAAAGCTTGCACCAGGAAGACCACCTAGAACCAAACGACCTCTTGCGCCTCCCAACTTCCGAGGTTGTGCACTCGTGTACTTTGGACAGTGCGACAGATGAACACTCCAGACTACCATACCCTTGCCTCCTGAAACAGCATGGGCCCATTTAAAGTTTACCAGGCCGGCAGGGGCAGGACAATGGTTATAAATATAAATATATATATATATATATATATATAAATATATATATATATATACACATTTTTGTCACTCGTGCTCGACAAGTCAGAATATATATATATATATATATATATATATACATACATACGGCTTCTGCATCCAGGGAGCAGAGCGCAGCAGCTCGGCAAAGCTCATGCCAAGCTTGTTCAGTCGATCGCCGGCGACGAAGAGCATCCCGTGGCCTCTGCTTCGAGCAGCAATTCGGGTTCAGGCTTTGTGTGGAAATCCCTTCACAACATTTCACAACATGGTCGCCAAGACGCAAGAGCTCTTTGTTTTTATGTAGCAGGTTGTTTTTGTTGCTGGGAGGCGCTCTGATTTGTGCAGTTGGCTTTGTTGTCTGTTGCTTTGCTGTGGGGGCTCGTCTGCGTGGGCTTGGGCACGTGTGTTTGGTAGTCGTTGTTAGTCGTTTGCTGCTGGGTTCGGGAGGTGCTTGTGTGTGCTGCTGAGGTCGGACATCAGCACCAAACAAGTTCCTGCCGGTTTCCAACATGGTTTCATCGACAGCACCTTCGTCAATTACACGAAGATCCACGAAAGCGTCCTGAGTCCCTGTCACATTACCCACGAAAACATACTAGCTGTGGGCTCATCACTTGATCAGGAGCTTGATGCCTACCACTTGTGCCTTCCATGGGGGTCGGTCTAGCTGCAGCCATGTCTCGTTCTCCCGGTGTCAAGAAACTCAGGGAGAACAAGTCAGCAGCGACCTCCCACACTTTGTCATGGGGAGTCGGGCGGGACCTTTCCCCATGTGGCACGGTCATTTACAGCTGCACATGGAAATAATGCAGTTTACCTTACATCTGGGTAAACGAAAGTCCCAGGTGCGCATCATCGTCTACAAACTCATCCGGCATACTGACTCTTACGTCCTACGGTATTATCATAAGAAGCACTGCAAGCCTCGACCAACTGCGGCCGCTAGTTTTCCGATACGTTACGAATCAATACTCTTATATAGTGAACCCCAGAAGGTTCGAACATGGATTTAGGTAGTGCTGGGATCCCATATGCTTTACCTCTAAGGCCATGAGGATATTGATGTTCCACCTTTCTGGCTTCCACTGTAGTTACAAGTAGTTTCATCTTCCCCGCCTGCCCAAGCCGGCAAGGATTTTGAACCTGCGCCAGCTGCAAATTGCGCTCCTGCGAGTTGCTGATGAGGCCTGCCGGTCACTTCGAAATGGTGCGGACCATAAGCTCTAAGAGGCCTATAAAAACCTCAAGCCCTACAATCCCCAAGTTAAAGCCAGACCCTCAACCCGAAGCCCTGATCCCGGACCGGGCAACATGCGGCAAAAGGTTTGAGGGGCCTTACTGGTTGGAAAGGGCTCTGGGGGCATATTGTCGCGGTATAACTACAAAACAAACGACTAAAACCTGATATTAACTGATATTCGTTCCTAGTCAGTGATCGCTTGAAAACTGAAAGATCCTCCATGTCATCGGTTCTTGTGCTTATGACATTGAGGCCTGAATCGTTGAGGTCTTGGGCTTATAGGCTTAAGATTTATCCAGTTTCGACACTCACAGCTTGGCGGATCGGGCTTTCTCCACAAGAAGCGCCACCAAATCAACCAGAAGGCTGTGCGAGAGCTTCGCCGTTGCTCCCTTCATGGCAAAGGCCTGGCAGGCGTGCTTCTCGCACAGCATCTCCGCCAGCCGTGACAAGGCGGCTTCCGTCAGGTCATCGAAGCCCAGCTCTTCAGCGCGCCGCGCCACTTCCGGTAGCTCCTGCAGAGTCCCCGCCAAAGCTGTAGCTTCACAGTCGGCGCAAGCTCTGGCAAGATGTCTTTCGTCAAGCTGCAAGAAGTTGCCTTGCAGGAGGGCGAGAAGGTCAACTGCACAGGCCGCATGGACATCAAGCTTCCCCGTGTAGAGAAAGTGTAACAGCTTGCGGAATGCACTTCTCGCCATCTCCAGATTGGCCCCTCCACCCAGCAAGCCCTGCTCCTCGACGAAGCCAAGGTGAACGATGCCGTCGCGCTCCAGAAACTTGGACGAGAGTGCGGTGGCAAAAAAAACGCTGCAGGCTCCAAGGACGAGGCGATGAGCTTCCAAACGCGGAGCGGCGGTAGAGTCGGAGGCATCGTCGCGTCTACCAAGTACAAGCGTGACCATGTCTTCTGTGAACTTACCCGGACCGCTCAGTTCCTCCACCAGGGTTGCCACATCATCCTCCAACACTGCACCCGGAAGGCCCTGCCCCACAACAGCTCCCGCTGCCAGCTTATGGCTGGACCAAGACGGTGTCTCCAAGACTTCTGCAGACTTTGGTGGAGGGTCTTTGCTCGATATGTGGCCAAGAGTGACCAGCCAGCCGTGGCAGCATCGCTCCAGTGCACCCATCTCTGCCACCAATGCCACATGGCGAAGCTCGGAGACCCGCTGCTCCAAGGAGTCCTGAATATGTCCGCGACTGCCCTTAATATTCACTAGTTTTCTTCGATAATCTTACCTTTAACATACGTGTACTACCAGATGAAAGCATGCTATAAAATATTACACCCGCCAAAAACCAATTCGAATGATTCGTCCTCTGCATCGGGGCCCGTACGGTCCCAGGGCAGCTGTGCTGCGTACAAGAAAGCCACCAAGTCCTCCAAGCCAGTGCTCGTGATGCCGGGGAGGTGCAACGTCCGTTGTGCTGTCACAAAGCTGCAGAGACCAGGGCTGCGACATCGCAGAATGGAGCTATGAACAAGCTGTGATTCGCTGCCGTCTCCATGGAGTCTCACACAGCTGCCATAAGCGGCCATCTCTTCCGCAGGCAACTGCCACAAACGATGCAGCCCGCAGGCGATGAGACTTGGTCGATCTCTTTTAAGGACTAACTTTCGCCAGGAGGTGTCGTGATTCAGGTGCTCGATCCATCCGGCCCGATAGCCTCCTTGCCCATCCAAATGCCAGGACAGCCTCCGTGGCCCCTCTGCAATATCGGCCCCACCACGTCGCTGAATCGCTTCTTCAGCAAAACCGAAAGCACGTCCACGTTCCAAGTACCAAATCGAGCCATTGTGCTCAGTCTGCTGCCAGCGCTGGCAGTTCTGCAGCACGGCTTTGCTTCTTCCACAAGCACACGTGTCCAACACCAAGCTTGGCCCTTCAGCATCATGCACTGCTCCTGCTGCGATGACGGAGTCCTCGTCGACGGATTCGAGATCTTGCGCGCGTGTTGCAGCGCGGTAGACCTCATTATAATGCACAGTCCAGCCCAAGAATGTGTCGAGAGGCGTCTCCTCCCGAACTCCGGCAAACGGAACCCGATATGCACAACTGGATTCCATTGCCTTTCGTTTCAATCACACCCATGAGATAGGTACCATAGGGACATTAATAGTTTCATAATGATTGGAATAGGGTTTTCGGGTATAATCTACCAGAAGTATAGAGGGACTGTAGGGGAATCCTATCGAAAACTATTCCGACCTCTATAATCACAACCTGTTCTTCTGCCGACCGGGTTCTCGGCACTGAGGTTCAGATCTGACGAGACATGCAGGGTTTTGATTGAGACCATGTACGGCATCACAACTGCCTCCCTGCTCAGCAGCGCCTACCATAAACCCTAAACCCTTTTACCCCTGGACTTGATGCCTAAACCCTACCTAAACCCTGAAGAACCTACCTTGTTAGGGTTCCTTATTATGATTTCCTTATATAAATCCTTAAAAGGTAGGTTCTTCAGGGTTAAGGTAAACCCTAAACCTTAAACCCTGAACCCTAAACCCCTTTTTTGAACCCAGACTCTGCCGATCAGCTGGGAAGCACTGCAAGACTTCAAATCTAAACCCCTAAACCCTAAACCTTACACCCTAAACCGTGTCTAACCTCCAGGGCCAGCTCTGACCACCGTGGAAACGGCTTCAACACGGAAAGAGAGCCCTCAGGCCTTCTGAACAAAAAAACATAGTAGCACCATGTTGGTGAACCAGTTTGGCAACACTGCAGCAAATAATCTTGTTAGTTTTTTTAAAAAAACACTGTAGCAAATAATCTTGTTAGTTTTGGTACTACTAAGTACTAGTGGGGCGGGAAACGAGATCCTCAAGAAGCCCAAAGGGCCACCTGGCTGCATCTGCAGCAGCCGCATCCTTGGCTGCTCGGATGTAGAAGCGACAGGCACAACCGGCTTTACTGCAAACAAGCGTCGATCTAGCCCGAAACCCTGGACTGAAGACAAGGGTCTACATGTATAGGGCTACCTCTGCTAGTAACCTTCTCGTGCCCTCATAGTAATTACCTTTATCTTACCCTTGGTACCCTCATAATAACTTGTAATGCCCCGATAGTACCCTTAGAGTGACCTCAATTCAGACACGAAGTAGAGCCAAGCTGGGCTCCCCGCGCAGCAATGCCGCCTAGGTGCGGGAGAACCGGCTGTGACACAGGGGCAGTGCACAGACTGGAACTGCATCAGTACATCACCCACGGACAGCAGAACACCCTTCAAGGATCAAAGTAATTAGGCCGGCAGCCTTGTATCGAATGAGGTATTTGGGCCCAAAAGCCTTATAAACTTTGGGGCCAGGGTGCAGTAAGACCAAACGCCTTGATCAAGGCCAAAGCAGCGCCGGCTGCGCATCACCTAATTCATGGTCGGGGTAGGATTCGACATGTACATGTGTATTCTTTATGGGGTTCAAGTACCCATAAAAACGAACAATGTTGCCCAACTATGACAAAGTCACAGGCTCTGCCAACGTGGCATAGGTGATGAGGTCCTGTTCTGGGGAGACATGAATACCCAAAGGCTCCATAGTAGTTCCGATTTGGGGATCATATTTGGAATCCTGTAAGGTAATCCCAAAAAGGAACTGCTCTGGAGCCTATGAGTAGCCGAGGCTGCAGCTCTGGAGGAGGAATACGAATATGTCTGCACATATTATATTATGCACATACATGTATATGTATATGTATATGTATATGTATATGTATATGTTTTTGTAAGTATGTATGGCTACATAGAACGTGTATACAGTCTGCCGTTCTATCCGGAAGCATCGTCTCAAGTCTGCCAGGCTAGACCAGTCCAGATACCTTCCTCCTGTCTTTCCAGGCCTCAGGCAGGAAGTGCCATCACCTCAAAAGTGGACTCCAACGTAGCACGCCCCTGCTGAGCGAGTTTCGAACCTCTCGGACCAAAGCGAATATAGGGGCCTTAATAAATAGAATAGGGTTTTGGTGCATATTATAGTATCGTTATTATAATAAGGAACCCCCACAATAGTTGTGGTAATCCGAGATGGACCCGTCCTCCCCGCAATCAACAATCACACCAAAAGCCCTGGCACCTCACGGACGGCTGTCCAGTTCGGAGCTTGGCTTTCGCCGCATTGGGCTGGCCTGGATCTTGACTGTTTGGGGCTATGCTTGGCTCATATCTACTATACCCCCCTTAGAACCATAGTAAAAACAATATTGCTAATACTCTCTTGGGTTTTAAATGAACAAAAACAAGACTAATTCCTAAGGAGACTATAGTCTACAGCGCATGCTTAGAGAAGGTGCTCCACCGCGGAGGTTATGATACTATAGAGGCCTAAATAATTACCTATACTATTTTGCGGGTTCCTTATTATAACTATAGTATAAGGCGCCTTAGAACCCTATTCTAGTTATTAAGGCCCCTAAACGACAATGTGAAGGACGGCTGTGTGCAGCAGGGCGGGTTTCACCTTCCTGGGCTCGGCCGACCCCTGCGGTTCCTAACAACCTTGTCCATTTAGAAACAATAGACAGAGCCCTATACCTATATCCCTTATAGTAGGAGGTTATTTGAGAAGCTCTACTAGCCGGTCTGTTTATTCTGTTGGGGGAACCATGAAAAAAGACAAGGCTGGTTCCCAACAGGTCCACCCAAAAGCCCAAGAGCCTCGCCTGGCAGTGCGCCAAAGAAGGCTGAACAGCAGCAGCCTCCAAACGAATGCCAGCATTTTTGGGGCTCCGGGTTTGTCGCAGCACAGGGGACGAAGACCGCACCGGAAAGCCCTGGCAGCGATCGAAGTGACGTAATTATCGTAATTCATAATGCAGAAGGCTGGGCAACGCTATGCTTTTGTCGCGGGCAAAGCGTTAACTGTCAGCTTCCACTTATCCTCGAAGCTGGTTTGCAAGCCTCGGCTCGCATCACCACTCACTCATTAAATCATTCGCCAATCCCATGCTCGTTGTTTCCCACCGTTTAAATTGCATGGGCTTGCTCATACAAAATGCCCCACTAGTGTCTGTGCCGGTGCGATAGAAACAGTAGCTGCGAAATGCTGCAACAATGAGAATTTGTTTGCTTGAGCAGGGATAGTGTCCTGGATGCATCCATGGACCTTCATGGAACGAACAGATCACATGCTGTATGTGCGTGCTGCTTGGGCTTCCTACATGGCACGAGACACAAGAAAAGTTGCCTTTCACATGGCAGCGCAAGAGCTTGGTGTCTCGCGGCCGTCCCCTTTAAACTCAGCATTGTAATATCATACACATGAATGATCTCCGAAGATCTCGGTTCATTCACTCTCCTTCATGACCACATCAATGTAGCGGGTGTTGGTCCCGATCACACCTCGGCAACTCACCCTCGCAGTGGTCGCGCCTACGAATCTGGACCAACATGTTGCGACTTCTCAGCAGGACGGCCAATTCATAAGCTTGCTCTCTTAGCGCAGAACCGCATAGACCCGAAACTCACTGACGTGCAAAAGCGCAGCACCTTATGATCTCTACGAGGCACTCTTCTGCAGCGTTGCAACGGCTTGGGCCGCACCTTGGAAGAGAGTGCGATTCGAGCATCTGTTAGCAAATGCCCTGCAGGCCCAACTGCACTCTAGGTCATGTCAGCCCAGACCATGTTTTCCTTAGGTGGGTTCGGCAATGAATGACCCGCAAGAAAGGTCTGAACCAATGCATCTACTTGGCTGCATTGCTGACTCGTACCTTTGCATGCATCACATGCATATGTATATATGCATGTACAGATGTGCCTACTTGTATATATATATATATATGTACATATATATATACATATCCAATGTCTACATGTTTTAAATGTAGTTAACTATTTACATGTAGATCTGTGACAATGAACTCATCTCTTACATATTCTCGTGACCGGGCACCCGCCGCTTCCTTGTAGATGACAACGGCAGAGCCCTTCGACACCCAGTGGACCGTGGCGACTTCACCTGCAGAGTCTCCAGCCGTCGCGGCAAGCAGCATCTTGAAGCCAACATCATAACAGCATCAAGTCATGCGCGTTCATAAGTCATAGCTCAATCAGAAAAGGACGTAGTTAAGGCCTGAACATTCAGAACCTTGATTCGAAGTTTCAATACATGATACGGCTGCAAGTAGAGCCTAGCACCCTGCAGCCGCGTGTGCGTTTGTGCCACTGCGTGTCCCCTGCTATTTGGTCTCCAAAACCCAAAGGGTCCAAGTATCAGTATGGTATACACTTGTAGGGTATTTCGGGGTCTAAGTAAATAGCATAATATTAATATTTGGACCCTTTGAGAAAGTGTGCGGCACACGGCCTGCTTGGGACATGTGTGCGATCAGCTGCTCATCCGTGGTTCCAAAGTCGAAGCCTCGAACAAACACTCGGCCAGAACCTGCCAAGGGCAGAGAGGGTGAAAATGGACGTTGACTCTTCTTCCAGCAATGCAGGGGCACTAGATATGGACCGAAGCATTGAGTTTGTTGCTGTGGAGCAGGTCGCAAGTGGTGCAACGTCCACAGGACATGATGCATAAGTTCTAGTTTAACAATCAAACAACCGCAGAACTCCTGCGCAATCTCTATGAACAGTGTCATAAAGAAACGGGAGTTTCAGAAGCTCAGGATCCTCGGTGACCCCTATGCTGAGCAATCCCCAGAATCTTGGGGTCTCAATATTTAGAAGGAGTTTTGGTGTATCTTGAACTGTAATTGTAATAAGGAAATCCCAAATATCAGAGATACTTATTATAGGCCCCTATAAAAAGCCCTTATGGGAACCCTCGCTACAGAACCCTTTAAAGGGACCCTGGAAGGAACCATATTCTAATTAATATAGGCCGCTACACTATAGAACACTAATTACTATAGATCCCCTCTTTAGAAACCTGGATAGACCCCTTTAGAGGAACCCCTAAAGGAACCCCATTCTAATCATGATAGGCCCCCTACAAACAGAACACCCTTATTACTTATAATAGCCCTTATAGTAAGCCCTTTAAGGGAACCCTATGAAACCCTAGCCCTTGTAGTAGCACTGTTCCTATCCCCCCCTTAGAACCATAATAAAAATAACATCTTTAATAGTCTCTGGATTTTATATACGAACAAAAACAAAAAATCCTAAGGAGACTTTGAATTACTAAAGGCCCCTGACAGTATCTGCGGCCTGGAGGGTCCTCCTTCTTGTCGCTCTTGCCCTTGCCTTTTCCCTTGCCCCAGTATGCCCGGGCAAAGTTGGCGTACCAGAACTCAGTTGATGGGAGGCCGAAACGGGGGTTTAAGATTCTTGGGGTAGGGATTCCTTAATATGAACCCTATCATGGGAACCCTAATCCCTACTAAACCCCCATATGCTAAAACCCCTTTTGGCCTCCTATGAACAGTGTGGGCCGGGGGAATGAGGAAATCAGAACAAGGTTTAGGCTCTCGCAACTCGGACGCATCCAGACGAGGTTCTTGGAGCACCGCCAAGTCGGACATGATAAAACACCGCAACAAGAAGTTAAGGCCACAAAAGACTCCGACACAAAAAACTCCGACTCACTGTGCTTGCACCAAAGGAACATGCAATCTTCTTCTTGAAGAGCAAGGGAAATATGCACTCGTGTCGGTTCGAAGCAGAACAAGGTTTAGGGATCTTTTCCCTCTCGCAAGGGATTCGGATTTAGGGTTAATGGAAATCTGTTGAGGATGACTGCTCGTTCGTCATCAGGGTGGAAGATGATACAAACAGCAACGCTGACACAATTAACATGACTCTGGCCCCCACTGGCGCAGCTGACGGCGACGATACCCTCCCGCTCGTTGATCTTGCTACTCTGGCTTCTTCAGACAGCTTAAACAAGTCAAGTAATTCGCGTTGAAACCAACGTTCAGAGTCGCAGTCTCCGACAAGACATCGGCTGGGATGTGCGAGACGAAGGTTTACAAAGCCAGAAGAACTCGCCAGAGAGCCCAATACCCCTTAATTAAGGAATATGGCTTAAATCATAATATGAACCCTATATAATTTAAGCCATATTCCTTAATTAAGGGGTATTGGGCTCTCTGGGTCCCATGGGCAGCAACCAGTGCTGCCAGGCGGCCATGGGCATGCCCTTAGTGAACCCAGGCTCCCGGAGACTCCAATATCCCTTAATTAAGGAATCTTCCTTAAATCATATTAGGGATCAAATTATAATTTAAGGTATATTCCGTAATTAAGGGATATTGGAGTCTCTGGGCTTCAGTTCAAAAGGTGGTCAAACGGACACGCACTCTGCAAATCGCAAGCTGCTCGCGTACAGAAGGGCTTGACCCGGCTGGACGTGAGATCTCAGAAAAGGCTGTACATGTCATACATGTCAGACGTTAGCTTTTAACTTGAAGCTCAGCTGCAAATGATTCTCCTGATTTATGGCTTCTGCCGGTTGGTTTGTCATGCTGGACGAAACGTTACCAGCCCGGATGCCGGACATCCTCCCAAATCACAGCCCAAGCCACCATCATCATCCGACGGGGGTCGAAATTGTCGTCCTTCTGCATCACATCCTCAGGAAGATGAAGGCAAAGCTTAACGGTTCTATATGGGTGCTGCTTGAAAGATCAGGCGAAACAGGAAGTAGGTTACAAACGAGTATCGTGACATGATTTACCAAATTTCCGTTAAAATCAAACGGCAAACAGGTCGAACTTGTTATCAGGCCTCAAAACTGAAACACGCCAAACCTTCAATAAATAGGTAATCTAAGGCCAGTGCTACCCTATTGAATTGCCGTCGTTGACAAGGCGACCCTGAAAGGAAGCGAAAACAGCGCTGCGCCCTTCACGGCGGAAAACAACACAATGCCTCAATCTGAGGGCTTGGTCCTTCAAGCCGGCAAATCAAGCGAGCAGTGCTGGGCTCTACTTGCAATAACTTCGTGGACAGGTGGGGTCAAAAATCACCGAGATTCGATGAAGCGCTGGTTGCCTTCAATGGTCGACTTGTTCAGGAGCGCGGCAGCATTCTCCTTGGTTCTCCAAGCTTTGCTGGGCCCGGTGAATCGCACCGGACTTACAGGCACCGAAAGTGCAGCAGAGTAGCGACACCGCATGGCACTAAAACTTAATTGAACACCCGGCTCACCCTTTTCTTCAGCGCATCCTGAAGAATTAGTAGCAGCTCGACTTCTCTAAGCACTAATTAGCAACAGTAGATGCTATGAAGCTAAGTTTGTCACTGTCACTCCTTCCATCCCCGAAACCCTAAATCATTGCAGTCGACACATGAAAAGCAGCTGTGTTTTCTGCCGAGTCTCTGCTTCCTGCGCTGAGCTGTACGTGACAAGGGCGGAGCCCTTCGAGATCCACTGCAGGTTCGCCTTTCGAGGTTTAGGGTTGGGGATGGTTGGGGATTAGGGTATAAGGGGTTTAGATGATGGGCTTACAAGGGCTCCTCAGGGCTTAAGCTTTGCCTGTAGCCCCAAACTCTACAGTTTAGAAACGGTTGATTAAGAACCCCTTCAACAAAAATCTGGTCATAAAGTGTGGGATTTGTTAACCTGCGCAGAAGTTCTGCGTGACGGAAGGCCCAATGACCTACACTAAGGTGCGGGCCCGAGTTTTTGCAGCACGCGGTTGAGAGAGGCAATTGTTGACTGAGGGTATCTTCCTATGTTTACTGCCAACATGACTACTGGCATTCTGGACGTGGGAGCTGAGCTGGAACGGGTTGTGAAGTAGCA